TTAACTCCAGGAAAATTTAAAATTAAGACTAGAGATGTCTAAGAGGATGAAAACTATGGTAATAATGTTTTTCTGTTTAAGGATATGTATATATTTGCATATTTATTTTTTATGTACTTGGAATATTTAAGAAAATAGGCTAATGAGGGTGACATGTATGCAATTCCACTTTAAATGTATTATGGAATAATTTAGACTCGTGATTTTTTTCGTACATGAAAATGTATGTTAAGTACTTTATTGGAACTCTTAGGAGAAATTTAATATTTTATTTGTAAACTTGATTTTTTATAAAGGTAATTATATGTAAATTATGCTTTACTAAGACAAGAACTAAGAAGAAAATATATTAAATTTATAAATGTTGGTTACAAAATTCTGGTGGCATTTTATTAGCGAGGTTTGTAAATGGGACCAAGCATTATTTTAAACTCTCTTAAAAGTGGGCCAGGTGCAGTGGCTCACCCCTGTGATCCCAGCACTTTGGGAGGCCGAGGTGGGCAGATCACTTGAGGACAGGAGTTCAAGACCAACCTGGCCCACATGGTGAAACCCAGTCTCCACAAAAATACAAAAAGTAACTGGGCATGGTGGCACATTCCTGTAATCCCAGCTGAGGCAGGAGAATCACTTGAACCTGGGAGGCAGAGGTTGCAGTGAGCTGAGATTGTGCCACAGGACTCCAGCCTGGGCAGCAGAGTAAGTGAGACTTTTTTTTTTTTGAGATAGAGTTTCGCTCATGTTGCCCAGGCTGGAGTGCAGTGGTATGATCTCAGCTCACGGTAACCTCCACCTCTTGGATTCAAGTGATTTTCCTGCCCCAGCTTCCCAAGTAGCTGGGATTACAGGCGCTTACCACCATGCCTGGCTAATTTTTTGTATTTTTAGCGGAGACAGGGTTTCACCATGTTGGGCAGGCTGGTCTCGAACTCCTGACCTCAGGTGATCCGCCTGCCTCAGCCTCCCAAAGTGCTGGGATTACAGGTGTGAGCCACCACTCCTGGCCGAGAGACTGATTTAGGGAAAAAAAAAAAAATCTCTTAAAAGTGACTTCTAAAATCTGCTAGACTCATACATAGAAAAAAATTGTAGCTGAATCTGAAAGCTTTAAGGAAAAACTGACTTTTTGCATTTTTAAATTTAATAAATTGAATATTTTAAAAATCAAAGTAAGCCTCTGAAGAGTATTCTCTGCACAAAAAGCACCCTTGATAAAAAACAACTCATATCAACTTGTATCATACCATTGTCTGTGGTGCTCCATATATTTCTGAATGTAATTGATTTGCTTAGATAATGAGGGCATACTTTTTTTTTTCTTTGAGATGGAGCCTTGCTCTGTGGTCCAGGCTGGAATGCAGTGGCACGATCTCAACTCACTGCAACCTTCGCCTCTCAGGTTCAAGTGATCCTCCTACTGTAGCCTCCCGAGTAGCTGGGATTACAGTTGCCCACCACCATGTACAACTGATTTTTGTATTTTTAGTAGAGAAAGGGTTTCGCCATGTTGGCCTGACTGGTCTGGAACTCCTGAGTTGAAGTGATCTGCCTGTCTCGGCCTCCCAGAGTGCTGGGATTACAAGTGTGAGCCACTGCATCCAACCCTTAATACAGCCTTTTACATTGTATAGCATAGTGCCTTACATTCAGTAAGATTTAGCTATTTGTTGAAAGAATTAATATTTTAAAGGTTCCTACTTACAATATTTGTTTATAATCTGATAGCAAATAATTTAAAACTTCTAAAGTCCTTTTTAGAACCAGAAGCTATCCTGAATGATTAAATTCTGAAAAGTCACTTGGTTTGTGAAGACACCATTGAAATTTAGTAGAAAAAGGTGGGTCGCATCAGTAAATGCTTCTGGGGTAATTGATTATCCATTTGGGTGAAAAAAAATCAAGATACTTTCCTTCCCCACCTCACGTCATACAAAAATTAATATAAAATAATCAATACCTAAAATATTAAAAGTAATAAAGTAAAACTTCTAGAAGGAAACATGGGAGGGATATCATCCTGATCTCGGGGTAGGCAAAGATTTATTAAACTGGCCACTAAAACATTAAATATAAAATATTGATAAATTGGACTCCTAGAATTATGACCTTCTCTTTATCAAGAAAGATACCATTAAGAGAAGTAAAATACCTTTGCAACAGACTTGCACCTGTACATGTGTCCCTGAATCTAAAATAAAAGTTGAAAATAAAATGCAAAAATAAAGAAAAAAGCAAATCATACACTGGGAGAAGATATTTGCAAAGCATGTATGTGACAGAGGACTTGTATCTGGACTATATAAAGCAGTACCAATAAGAACATGTACATATAATATTGATACTTAATATAGCTTAGAAGGAGGAAGTACTGGATTTCAAAGGAGATGAGGCTTATTTGCATGTGATAGAATAAGGCATCTTTCTTATTCCTATAGGGAAATCTCAAATAGGAGAATTGAGCCCAGTATAGATACTTTTGTCTTTCACCTGTTATTCTGTAAATATGAAGTGCTATAAGCTAGTACAGTGTCAGTCTGTTTGACCATTAGTACAGCGGTCAAGGACACTATGTAATCCTACCAAAGTCTCTTTTTAAAGAGAGACTAGTAAAAGAAGCCTTGGGACCTTTATTGTTTACTCAGCCTGGAAGCTGTCACTAAGTCCTTAAATTGAAGCATGACATTGTGCAGTGATGCGCTAGTGGACAAAGAAGTACAGAACAGAATCAAGGATGTCCTTTGGGAAGTCCACAGAGTCTGTTACAAATGTAATATCCCGTTGCAGTGAGATGGAACTGAAGACTTACAAAGCAGAGGCACACTTCCTGTGGACAGGGGCCCTGCCACAGACAACACATCTGGCTTCTTGAGCAGTTTCACTCAGACCATTTAGGAGCCCATCAGAATATTGAGTGGCAGGACAAGGTCAGTAATGGCAAACACCCAGAATGCAGCTGGTGTAAGAGTTTTGAACCAATTCTTCCACAGTACAGCTTTACTGAGCAGGATGTGTGTGGAGAATGGACTACAGCAGGACTCCTAGGCGGTCGTTGAATTGCAAGCTGAGGTGGGGAAAGCACACGCTGAGGAGGCAGAAGGAGTGTTATCTGAGACCTGCTGCGGTGCACCCTGAGCAATGAGGTCCTGCAGAGCGGGCCCAGCCGCCCGAGCAGCTGCCATCCAGCTGGGAGGGACGGACTTGCTGTTGGTGAGCGGAGGCTCTGGCTAGCTGTTGAGTCTGAAAAGCAGGACCACAAAGAAAACAGACTGTTTAAACAGCAGGTGAAGCCGCTCACAGAAGAGCAGACTTGATGCAAATCCTGTGTGGAAAAGATTGTTGGTCTCATTTTACTGTCTTTGGCCATACCCATAAATCTGATTCAGGAAAGACATTTATGTGTACACAAGTATATACAAATAAAAGTAAAGTTGTACTCTAGTACTTTCTACCCCTTCATCAAAAACAAACAAAAACAAAAATACAGTGGTCACATCGAAATACTAGAAATAGAGCAATTTAACAATTACAATTTTTTATTTACCAGACTCACCACATTTTTATTTTATAGGCAGAATGCTTAAAAGACTGCTAATGTCCTAAAGACAATAATGTAATAATACTTTAAATTTCAAAATGCCTCATAGCCGTTACCATGCACTATTCTGTAGTTCCTTTCCTGTGGATTTCTTTCACAAGGTTCCTTGTCTTTGTCTCCTCCTAGGGTCAGAGTGGTAGAGGCCATATACCTCCTAATGGGTGCCTTAGTAAATACTTGTTTAACTGGACTGAACCCTAAGGATTAAGATGTCAGTGTATGGTAACCTCATAGACAGACACGGTTTTCACCAGCCTTATAGCAATTTCATGATGTACTCTAATTCCAGCATCTAAATATGCTATGTCAGATTTGCAACATGTTAACACTTTTTTTTCTTTTTTTTCTTTTTCTTACCGTTTTGGCCTTTCGTTTGCAACCGTCATGGCTTTTTATCCATTTTCCTATCTTTGAATTATGCATATGTGTCACCTTTTCTGATAGGAGGAACGGAACTCCATGATGAGTTAGGTGAATTGTAAGTGTGAGGCTGGAAAGGGGATAATAATAGATATGGCATGTGGTTAAAAATGGAATACACATATGGGATCTGGAGGGCTATAGATACATACATTGCTATAGAGAGAGAAAAGGTAGGAAAACAGAGGTAGAGACATTTCAAGAGAGAACTAAGATTAGACACGAAGTGATAGAGTCCCTTTCCCAAGAACCAAAAAGAGACAAAAACTGTGCTGAGAAGCCTCAAAACTTCACTGTTTGCAGGAGACAAGTTCCACGGTGATGAAACAAAATATGCTATTTTGAATGCATGTATGTATTAAAATTTTTAATCACATTTGGAGGACTGTATAATTTGAATGATTCTGTAATTTTTAGACATTCTCAAAACATGAATATTTTTAAACATAAATTACTTAAAGATTTCATTGTTAGCTCTGCCATTTGTAATTTGATGAGTGAAATGTTTCATTTTCCATTATAGAAGCAGAGAAAATCATCTTGGTCGTCAAACAGAAATTAGTAAAATGTACAAATAGACTTATTTAGAATTCCTATCCTTACAGCTTTTAATGCTTTTTTTCTAAAAAAAAGTTACTTATTCTTGGTTTAGGACAGTAATGAATAAAATTACTGCCTTTCCATTACGTTGTTAAGATTGTTAGATGGGGATAGTCTGTGTTGCCCTCTATTGGTGATTAATAGTTAACTTTTGACAGAATAATTGCTGCTGTGTGTCATTTGTGTATTTAATAATTGTATCAGCCAGTATATTTTAGAAAAAAGAATTTGGGAAAACCAGCCTATAGTTGTGGCCGTGAATTGGCCAAAGGTGAAAAAATTAGATTTCGGACTTTTTGATTTAACAATTTTATTGACTAAGGTAGTATTGAGATACTTTTGCCTTTGATTAATTTTAATTTTAATTTTTTTTTTTTTTTGTCAGAGCTCCACCTCAGATCAGGCGTCCTAATCGAGAAGTAAGACCTCTGAGGAAAGAAATGGCAGGAGTAGGAGCCCGGGGACCTGTAGGCCGAGCACATCCTATATCAAAGAGTGAAAAGCCTTCTACAAGTAGGGACAAGGACTGTAGAGCAAGAGGGAGAGATGACAAGGCAAGACGCTGTCTTTCTGTAATTCACTTGCTTGAAGCCCAGGACTTTTGGTGGATGTTATGATTTGTGTTGGCTTTTCAGGATCCTCTGGTTTTGACGGGGAAAAGTTAGAAACAAGTCTCATTCAAAGCCTAAGTAGTCTTTGTATTTTGAAGGCCACGCTGCAATGCAAATGACCTCAGAGGCATAGTAAATATATATACACACATACATGTATAAAAATATTTAGTGCAATGGATCCCTTGTAAGAAAAAATACGGCTTTAAAACTTTTTTGAAAAATATTTTAATAAGTATTCTGAATAGAAATGAGCAATAAGTGAAAACAGTTATGGGGAAAGACAAGAAAGTAGATATATATGTTCACAGAATAAGATGAGGGATATGATTTACTACTGCCAAAAACAAGTATCTTTGATTTATCTGTAGATTATCGTAGAACAAGATTTTTTTTTTTTTTTTGCCTTGAGAAAATTCCCCTTGCTTAGGGTTCATTGTGCACATTTAGTTATTTAGGAAATTGATTGGTGAATAAACATAGTACTGGGTGGAAATTGTGTACTTCCCTTAAAATGGACTTAGGACAGTGGGTTGAAGATAATCTTACAGAGGACTTAGGACAGTGGGTTGAAGATAATCTTACAGAGGAAGGAGATAGCCAGGATGATCTGATGTGTCTCTTAGGCCTTAATTTCAGTAAAAAGAGAAAAAAATTTTAAGTGATAGTATTTCCCATTTCTACTGTGATGTCATAAATGAATGATAATGTAATTGAATTGCCACAAAGAAGTTTTTTTACTAGTTAGAGATTCAGGATCTGTCATCACATTCAGACCATGATATGTATAATAAAGACATATCTAATAAGTGGTTATCCATCAAAACTGTATTTGAATATTTTTATTACATGTAATTTTGATCTGTAGATAAGGACTCTAGACCAACTTCCTAGGTCTTATATCCATAATACATAGACCATGATAGAATAAAATTGGTGTTTTCTGAGTATTTCTGAGATAATTCAAAGACATATTCTACCTCCCTGCCTCAATAGGACACTGAAAATGGAATTAGATTTTTTAATGTTTGTAATTTGTGGGAGCTTTTATGCCATGAAAACAGCAAGTGATTCTATTTCAGATCCTTTTTGGAATTAGCAAAGGGTAGTAATAAATACATTAACTTTGAATTTGTTCTCCCCATTATCAAAAGCCATATAAATGAGTACTTGAAACGCTGTATCTTAAATGTTGTTTTTGTTTCTTTTCTTCATTTTTATGCATTGCATAAAAATGCATTGGTTTGCATTATGGAGAATACAGTAGGGGCTGAAATCCAACCCCGTTTGCCAGCAGCTTTTAGATAAACCTTTAGAACAGGATAAGGAACTTCCAGTTTTGAATTTACAGAAGAGAGGAACCATGGTCATGGTTTACTGGATGCTGCTTTGCTAGGCACTGTTCAGAGTGATTAAAAAGTAATTTATGAAACAATCCTGTGAAGTAGGTGTCTTACTATCCCCACTTTACTGATGAAGAAGCTGTGGTACAGAGGGCTAAAACTTGCTAAGATCTCACAGTAAGAGATGAAGACTAGAAGAATGGAATTTGTGAAGTCACGCTTCTTTTTCCTGTTTAACCTTAAGATTTTTCATGTTATGTAGTATCCCCACTTACCGAGCTAGATGAAAAGTTGGATTGGATTTAACAAAAGAGATCCAGAACAATTAAATGTTTGTTTTTAAATGTGACTCTTAAGCAAAGAACAAAATAAGCAGCATTTTTTGAATGTCAAATACATTTTTTTTCTGGAAATTATAAATTGTCTTTCGTTTATAATGTTATCAAATGATTTTCTAAATCTTATTCTTTCATTGACATGTAAGTACTCCAAATGTCACTGGAAAGTAACCCTTTTATGTAAGAAAAGAAAAGAATTCTGCAGTTGTTTGGAGATAAGAGATATTTTCTGAGTCACTGTGGAAACAGAGGGGACTATAATTTTTCAAAACAAACTCATGCAAACTTCATTAGCCTTTGAAAGTTACATTTGATGCAGTTACAATTTTCGTAACCACGCAAATATTCATTAGGATACTGAAGTTCCTAAAACTCACTGAAGCCTGCGATAGGATTTGAGGCAGCTTAGGTGAAACTAATAGCTATCTACTTCTGCTAAAAGCTGATTTGAAAATGAGTGTTGGGGCCAGTGGCAGTGGCTCACGCCTGTAATCCCAGCACTTTGGGAGGCTGAGGCAGATGAATCGCTTGAGCCCAGGAGTTCAAGACCAGCCTGGGCAACATAGTGTAACCCTGTCTCTACTAAAAACACAAAAATTAGCTGGGCGTGGTGGTGCATACCTGTAATCCCAGCTACTTGGGAGGCTGAGGTACGAGAATCGCTTGAACCTGGGAGGCAGAGGTTGCACTGGGCTGAGATCCTGCCACTGCACTCCAGCCTGGGCAACAGAGCGAAACTCGGTCTCAGAAAAAAGAAGGAAAATTAGTGTTGTTTGGAAGTACCCTCAGTGGTATGGGAGTCCTCAGTGTTTATTGTATTTGTTTTTCTTAAGATCAGTTTTGTGTGTTGCTACCAGCTTTAAAATTGAACTAGAAAAGAACAGAAAATTCAGAGTTTATTGCCAATAAGTACAGTATTATTTTGATAAAAATTTATTTATAAAATATATACAAATTTATTCATATACGTTTATGTACACCAGCTCATGATCCAGAATGCATTTATTACTTTGTCTGGGTCAGAATTTTGAAAGCTGCTGCAGCACTCTAACTATGTACTTAACTTTATAGATGTAAGAAAAGTGAGGATAAGAGAAGTTAGAGGTATCTTGCTTAAGGTCCCTGGTATATTTTTGGATTTTTAATTTGGTGTTGGGAACTGTATGATGTAACAACTAATAATAGCAGTAGTAGCAAATGTTAGTCTTCCTTGAGCACACTTATCCTTTTTGAAGCTTTCTACAGAAAAAGCCCTCTTTGAAGGTTTTTACATTTATTGGTTTATTTGATCCCTGCATAATCCTGTGAGCTCAGCATTATTTTTCCTGTTTTATGTGTAAAGAAATTGAGACACTGAAGTCTTAACTGCAGATGGTGAACTAGGATTTGAACCTTGTCTAATTGTAATACCTGAGTTTTTTAATCATTGTGCTAGACAGCCTCTTATTTGAAAGTGCTTACTATCTTCTTATAAGAGTACCAGTTTATTTCCTGAGAGTGATTATGTCTTTTTTCTTTTTCTTTTTTAAAATTACTGACAGGCTTCAGGTTAGGTCCCAGCTTAAAATGCTGTTTTTCAGTAAGTAACAATCATTTTGCATAGTCATCTGTTGTTGAGGCTTTATCATTTTCCCCCCTGAGGTCTGCAGGGTCAGCCATAAGTCTAACTAGTACTCTGTTTGTTGAACACATCCTTATTAAGTGCACATTTTGTGTCAGTAATAATTCTAGGTGCTAGAAATACAAATGTTAATGAAATGCAGCTCCTGGCCTGAATGAATTAACTTTTAAGCTATATTTTTTCCAGTTTTATTTCAATGTATCTGGTCTCTTCTTCCTGCTATAGCAAAATAGCTTAGACTGGATAATTGAGAAGGAACAGAAATTTATTTCTCACAGTTTTGGAGGCTGAGAAGTCTAAGAACAAGCCACTAGCAGATGTGGTATCTGCTGAGGGTCTGTTCCTTCTAGATGGCACCTTCTTATGTGTCCTTACAGGGTGCTCCCAGGGCCAACAGGCTCCCTTGGGAATCTTTTGTTAGGGCGCTAATTCTGTTCATGAGGGCAGAAACCTCATTGACCTAACCACCTTCCAAAAACCCCATCTCCTAATACCGTCACATTTGGGCTTAGATACCAACATGAATTTTGGAAGGACATAAACATTTAGACCATAGCACCTGGGAAAATCAGATTTTTTATTATTTTGCTGTTTAAACTTAGAGTCAAATAGAAATATATACATAGAAGTAGCGAAAGGATTTTTTTATTTAAGAAGGATAATCTAAAAGTAAAATATCAGGTAGTAGAAGAAATATTTTTGTTTTATAACCTTAATTTATCAAACTCTGATTCTCAAGTATTTTTAAGATTATAGTTTTATGGTTAATTAACTCAGTGAAATGAGCAGTACTTCCATTATCTCATGATTGAAGCTATATATGCTTTTAAATAGAATTCAGATTAAAGGACGGTAAATTATATTCGCTGAATTCATTTTAACGTTGTTAAAGGACTTTATTTCATTGAATTATACATAACAAATGGCCATTTATCATGAGAAGGCTTTCCTTCTCATGAGTAAGTCTAGGGGTATCTGATATGGAGAGATGTTCGAAACTAGATTGACGTATTCTTTTGAGAGCTATTGATTGATTATATAAATGAACAGTGACTTCATAAAAAATATTTTTATTGAAGAAAAGTGCACAAATTTTAACGGTACTTTTTTGATGAATAATGATAATCTAGCCAGTGGTGTATATTAATAACTACTTTTATGAAAAAAAGGTACATGTGTGTATACACATTAAAGAATAAGATGATAGTGAAACAAACACGCTAGAGCTTCACTCATTGATCAATGACTTCAGCAGTTTTCAAATACTGGAAGAATAATCAGATTTTTTGTGCTATTTACAGTGTAACAGCAAAAATGACATGCTTTTAAGTTTAGTCTGCATTATTAACATTTTCCCCATTACTTTTCTAAATCTAGGCGGTCAAGAAAACAATAAATCATAGCATTTGCTAATTCTGTGATGTAAATACCACCTGTGTGATGGATTTCAACATCATGTCACTGAACTCATAGTTGAGATGAGTTTGGGTAGCAGCCTACCATTGTATGGTGTTTCCACCATAGAGATACAATAAGCTATGGAACCTCAAGAGAATAGGTAATAGTAAAATAATTAGGATGTGAGGAATTTTGAGTATTTATTTCCTTTTTTAAAAATATAACTTATTCAAAGTTTGTGTA